GTATTGTTTGGCTCCTCCATTGTGGAGTTCTCCTTCAACAAGGGTGGATGGGGAGCCATGCTCGCTGACCTCTATTGCCGCAAGGTGTCGTATATACACATTTTGCGCTTCTCAAGTTTTCTTTTAGTACTCTCTCCCCTAACAAATGCAAATTACCCATTAATGTTGTGTATTTTTGCAACATTTGGAGCTCTTGAGCTGATTTGCCATATAAAATAACTAGTGTGCACCCCGTGCAAAGCACGGGCTCCATTTTTTTATTTCCGCTGCAGTAATTATGTATTTTAATACAGTTTTTGTAAGCACTGTAGTAACATTTTTTTAAATGCTACAGTATCTCGTTTGAGCTACAATAATGTTTTTAAACGCTATAGTAACAATACTATACGATTTACTGTAGTATTATTGTAGCATTGATAGTGAATCTTGAATAGAAATGATAGGGGCACACTCTCTACCACACCTTCAACCACACCATATCTCTCGCTACAGTGCACAGGGCCCACATGAGATTTTATTTAATAAAATCTCATGTGGGCCCGGTGCACTGTAGCGAGAGATGGTGTGGTTGGAGGTGTGGTAGAGGGTGTGCCCCTAGTGCCCCTCAATCTTGAATCCTCCCATTATTATAGAGTACTCCCATTATCACAGAGGAATAGACTAGTTAGTTTGTTACTTGTGGAGCGAAGCGAGGGGGTATTACCGGAATAATGTTATTTATATTATTTCGTCGTCCATCATGATATAACATTACGACTATTTTAAAGTTGTGCTATAAATTAGAAATATTTTGTGGAAATAGTTTTTGTTTAGAAATGTTATGACTTTGGCAACTATTTTCTTAGAAACCTTAAAAAAATTAATGTAAGCAAATATACTTGAAAAATATTGTTATGATATTTTATTCATGATGCTGTCCTATTACGGTTTGATGGTTGTTTTCATTTTGTACCCTACAAATTATGCTACTTAAATTAGAAATGTTATCCGACACCACTTTAGTGAAACTACGGTGGGGAAGGAAAATTGGAACTTTGCAATTTTTGTTCTCATAAACTTACAAATTCGCAGCGAATTTAATTTAATTTAACAGTCTTCTGTTTGATGCGTTAAAAAGGCTGACGTTTTGGTGCGAGGATACGGTGGCTGGAACACGAGGCGTGCCCTCGAAGCCATTGACAAAATTTTTCCAAAGGTATTTTCTTGTTTTTTTTTTGTTTTTTTATGTTTTTCCCCCTCTAAAAACATGACGTTTGCACATCGAACTCTCGTTAATCACGGTGTTCATCAGGATGCGCCGGTCCAGCCTTCGCTCGTGATAGCTTATCTTTGTGGTAACGACTCGATGGGAGCTCACCCATCTGGCTTAGGCCCTCACGTTCCGCTCCCAGAATACATTGAGAACTTGAAAAAAATATTGGACCATCTTAAGGTATATATATCATCACTTTGTGGTTAGTATCAATGTTTTGAGCTTGCTATCTCACTAATTTTAGAGGGGTTTCTGATAGAGAACTTAAGGGAGATTTTGCGACATTTCGAAATTTGAGGGCGTTAGTATTGGGGATTTTGTCACAAGACATAAGGGAAGTTTTGTGACATTTTGAAAGTTAAAAGGGATTTATCTAATGAAAAGGGTAATTTTTGAAATTTAGCCTTAATTTTTTGACAAATAGAACCCTCTGAGGGTAAAAGAAGAGTTTCACCCCAGGGCTTTCATCTGCAAAAAAAAATAAAACTAGAGCAGCAGTAAGTTCAGAACAACGATAGTAGCTAGGGGGCGGGGTTTATCCGCACTATGCGCATTAATGATGCCCACTATTGGTCCTATATTTTGGGTCATTGAGGAATTTTTCTTTGATTTACCGTATTAATTACTACAATTTTTACTCAGAGCCTGTCAGAAACAACGCGCGTTATTATCCTCACTTGCCCTCCGGTGAACGAGGAATTGTACCGTCGGTTCTCAAGGTTAAGCTTCTTCTCAACCTCTTTAATTACCTTGATGCTAGCTCCTCTTGGTACATTTCTTAATTTGTTCTTTTCAAATTTTAGAGACCACCTTGATGTACTAGCTGAGATTATCCGAACAAACGAGGACCTCCGCAAATACTCAGAAGCATGCGTACAAGTATGCAAGGAGATGGATGTGAAGGTCATTGATCTTTTTACCGCGATACAGGAGAGGGAGGACTGGGTTACTTCTTGCCTTGAGTGAGTCTAAAATTTCTCAACTCGCCCTTTTCTTCCCTGGTTAATATAATTAATTACATCCCAGCGGCTTGACGTACGGTTAACCTTGCGATTCCTGATTGTAATTACATATTAACGGGGTGTTTGGTTGCACAAATTTATAGAAAAGTTTTCTCAAAATGTCTGATAATGGCAGGCAATTCTGTAATTAAAAATTTTCTGTAGATATCCGTAAACTGTGTTTGGTTTTTAAAAAAATTTACAGAAATATTTTCTGTAAAGTACAGAAAAGTACCAAAACTTACAGAAATCAATTTCCTCTCAAAATGGGCGAAAACCACCCAGAAATCCGACACCACATTAACATTTTTATATAAAGTTAGCACTTTTCTATAAATTTAAGGGGTGCTTGGTTCAATTTCTACAAATAATAGGAAATCTTGCTATTTTCTATAAAGTTATGGGTCATTTTCTTGTTTTGAATCAAACAAGCAAAGTACAAAAAAACAAGAAAATTGATACTTTTTGACTTCTCAAAACTTTTCCTATAACTTTTTTTAAGAAATACAAGGAAATCATATTTTGGATGGAAAACGTTTCCTATAATTTGTAAAAATTGAACCAAACACCGCCCTTTGTCGGACTCTTAAGATCACCCATGTAATTACGTACCCGGGGGGGTCACCCATGTGATTTCACCACCCCGCGATATACTCCTTGTTCATTACTTGTAAACTGTTTTCTTAACAGCGCCCAGGACGGGGTACATTTTTCGTCGGAAGGGAACAAGATCGTCGTCGGAGAGGTACTGAAGGCGCTGAAGGGGGCAGCGTGGCAGGCCGTCTTTACACTGGAAGTCGCTGCCGACCGAGTTTTCGGAGGACTCGGCCCATGATCTTGTCGCCGCCGATGGAAAATCCACCGTCAATCCTACCAAATTGACCATTTTCAAGGAAATACAGTTCGATTAGAACCTACGTGAGAGGGTTACGCGGCGCGCGTGTCTCCACAATTCGATCTGCTTCAGAAAATAAAATTAAAATAAAATAAAAAAGTGAGCTAGGCTGTAGGCTCATCTTGTCCATCTGTACGTGGTATATTGTTTGAGATCAAGAGAACATGTCTGGATTTCTTTCAGTACGTCCTCGAGAAAATCTTGGATTTTAGAACGCATTTTTTTCTCTCTCTTTGCATTGTTGTCCGCTTTATATTTAATAATTGCAGTTATTAAACTTGTTTATTGACAAAAAAAAAAGCTCCAGGGCGCAAAAGAGTAATAAAAAAAATCACTTAGGGGTCTGTCTGCAACAATAGAACTATAGAGGGCCTATCCACAATTAGATGATAGTACGATGGGTAAATCAGCAATTAACCTTGATGTATTTGTGTTAACGGAATAGCTTGGTGCTGCACAATTCCGTACCCCAGGAAATATCTGTAGGATACAGATATGATCACTCAAATTTATAACCAATAGGATATGGTTACGAATATGATTTTATAGTGAAATATCCAGACCCGTATCCAAAATATCCGAAAACATATTAGTCATACTGTTATGATAGTTTTAATCCTTAAATTATGAATTTGAGGTTAATTTTGATGATCAAGATGTCTAATCTTAGCTTTTAAAATATAATAAACATAATGATGAACTCTTTTGTATCAGATCAACTACATTTTTTTCAATACCATCTAGTTTTCTCATATCCATTTCATATACACATACAAATCTGCTTATACATCCGCATGTATATCCATATCTGTATCCGAGATGGATAAGCATATACGAAAATGATATCATATCCAAGCCGTACCCTGACCAAATACACCCCTATGCACAATTGCTAAGTGGCTACTATACATTTGCAGTATTTGTACTTGCCGTATTTATATATCATTTGTACACTTTGTTTATCGAAATAATCAAGTTTCTCCCATCAATAGCTACAAAGCTCATTGTACAATGTAGTTCTGTATCATGCCCTCAGACTTTGGGGTATGAGATCAAGACTCAATTATATTGCTACTACATATAAATCATTTCATGCAATTACAAGACTATAAGGTCTTCTACTTAACCACAATACACTAGTTAACGTACTCCCTAAGGTCAGGGATACTACTGTACCTGTATAATACACTTTAGGGTTGAATCTGAAGCAAAACATAGGCATTTTAGCTTGCATTCTTATTGGGAATCTGGTTGAAGATGAATGTGTGGACAAATTCTCTCAGGCTCCCCCTTGGTCCATAGATTGCGAAGTTCACCTCTTTTTCTCCCCAATGCCAAGAAAGTTCCTATAAGAAGTTTCCATTATATATTTGTACATATAGGAACACAAATCTTATCAGAATGCCTCTCATGTGAGTGGGGTATTCTGAACCAAAGAGAGTCCAAATCTCCAAATTGCCCCCTTACCCTCTTTGCAAATGGCTCAAACCAGCCTGCTTGCATGTGGAGTGTTCTGACAAAATTTGTACTATGTATCTACTACTTTGTAAAATTTGCTTACCAAGTGTAAAAGGAACAATGTAAAGGAGAGCAGGTTGACCATGCCCATCCATCAAATTCAAGGCGACATAAGTGATGAGGAGACCTAAAAATTATAGTACAAAGGTCAACAAAATTGCCAAAACGAATGATCATACTACTGCTCTTGCTGGCTGGCTTAATATTCAGAGCTATTTTGAGTATATATTCACAAAACTAATATGAACTTTGGGGCTTTTGCACAAAACTACTATGAACTTTTTATTAGAAAAAAACTACAATAAACTTCCAAAACTGCAGGAAAACACCCTGAACTGTTGGGAATTGTGACTAACGGGGTTAATGCCTTGGACAAAAGGTCTTATTTTTATCTATCAAACAATAAAGTTCATAAAGGTAGTATAAAGTACACAAGCACAAAGTTGTCCAAAACATGATGTACAAAGCACGTGACAATTTACCGTACTTGTCGTCAGACATGATAATTTTGTGAAAAATGTTCAAAGGTAGTCCTCTCTAATATAATTAAGGGTTTTTGAGATCTTAGTCCCTTAAATCTTCCATATTCTAAAATTAGTCCCTCAAAACATTGACTGTTAGGTTCCCAATTCTTAAGGTGGTCTGAAACTAGTCCCTCCAATCAAGAGTAAAATCAACCATTAGAGGGATTAATCTGATAACTTATGAGAATTAGGGGACCTAGTAGCAATATCAATGATTTGTGGAATAAATTTCAAAATAACTTAAGGATTGAGAGACTTATAGCAATTTCAATGATTTAAGGGACCAATTCAAAATATGAAAGATTTCAGGGACTAATATTAAAAAAGCCCTAAATTACAGTGCTTTTTCTCCCCAAAAAAAACACTCCAAGGTGCATGCTAGTTTTGTGATAGTTACTCTTATTTTGATATATCTCCTTTGTTTCAATTTGGCAATATAATTAACTCTAAGATAAATTTTAATCTCACCAGAACCATAGGCCACCATAGACCACAAGAAGTAACCAGCTCGTAGCTTCTTTTTTACAGCCCAATCATATCTGTAACAGGAAAGCAAGGACTGGAGTTAGTATTGATCCACATAAGATATGTGGTTCTGAGTAATGGCTTCATGCTACAGAACAATATTATATATTCAGCAAAATTGGCAAACATGGAAGGCGTAGGCGAATATGCAAAAAGAATAAAGTATTTGACAACTTCCTACAAGTACAGGAGTTGAAAGTACAAAGGTACTGTTTTATATAGACATGGACAGCTAAAAACATTTAAATACTCATGATAGATACAGAAACAAATATAACAACATAGAACTGATAAGAGAACAGTATAGGATTGGTAACTGCCTCCAATGTGGTAATGAAGTCATATTTGAGAGCCAAGAAGATCCAAAGAATAATTGAAGTCCTTAGTTTTGCCCTCAGATATCAACATGAAATAACCCCTATATGACCACTGCCAAATTCCTAACCAACAAAACTACATGAAGAAAATTGCATTTTTCACAAACAAATAAAGCAAACAAGCTTTACTTCCTCGAGCATTTCTTTCATCTCGTAAAATAATTTCTACTTGCCTTGTCTTTCCTATATTACTAATTAATGCACCTTTGTGAGACGAATGTACATTAACTATATTTGTTATATTTATGCAAATTCATGTAGTTTGCATCAAGGTACAATGACCAAACAAAAAACATATTGAACCTAGTTATAAACAAATTAAGCACAAAAATACCCCGTAGTATTTAAAGTTTTAACCTTAATGAAAAAGCAATTAGCAGCCCGGGCAAAAGGATATCTCCAAATCCAATTATGCTGTATCCACCCCATGGATCGAACATTCGTGGTATCTTAAGTAACATGGGCACACCATCCTCTCCAGTCTTATCACCACGTGCAACCTACGTAAATTACATGAAGTGGGTAAAAAAACCTGTTCATTAGGAATATTGGCTAATTCAACAAGAACAAACTTTCATGGAGACTTACGACAATCATAACACTTTCATGGAACCAACTTTTTGAGACAAAAACCCAAAAGATGTCATATAAGAAGGCACAACTGAGGAGAACCGTACCAACCTGATCATGTCCAGGAAATTGAAGTGTTGTTAGAATGAAGCAGTAAATATATGTTTTAATAAATAATAAAGAACAAATCAAGCAGCAACTTATGTGTACTAAATAACAAAACACCAACAACATGTGAAGTGCTCCATATAGATATATATTCATGTGGGCTTTAACATACTCTCACCAAAAGTGCGTCCACATATGAAGACACTTGCTGTCAATGATTAAGGGTGAAAGACAATACTGCTAATTTAGCATAAAAGTTCAAATCCTGAAACTTTCCAACATTTGCGAAGACAGCTTAAGTATCATGAATTTTGAATTTTTTGGATTGTATAGAAAAATGCAATTAGTTATAGGAACAAATTCATCATATTTTGGTAAAACTTGTTTTACCTTAAGTTTGAGTTTTCCATATAACCATTCCACATGACCAATTCAGTAAGCAGTAGGCTAGACGGAAATTCAAATGACAATATCTTTGATGCATGTCATTTGTTCTATAAGCTCATACCAAATGCAGGCTCAACAAATTTTCTGAATAGGTTTTAACGCAAAGTATCGACTCATAAGATCTTTTTACCTTGAGATTAGGTACTCGGACGATCTGAAGCACGGTAATAATCAATGCAATACCCTAGTAAAGAAAGAAGTATTAGCAGCGAGAGAAGGCAGTAAAATTAAAAAAGATAATGTACATTATAGCAAAAGAACATCAAAAAATTCCACAGTAACAGAGGTTTTATAGTAAAGTTGGTAGTTTTGAATCACAGAATGAAATTGAACCTCTTGAAGGCGATAGTATGAAGGTAGATAATGTTAGATATAGGTGCCCTGCAGGCAATAATTGTATATTGTAACAGGACCTATATGAATATAACATCCTTGTTCTAAATAATAGTATGTTATTTTGGTCAAATTTATCTGGTATTTTTTTAAATACAGATAAAGTTCTTAGAATGATACTAGACTATCAGACATTTCGGATATGATTGTAATGAAGAGATCTGATTTGTCGCTAACGTATATTCTAAAATGTTCTTAGTCGATGAAGTGTTGAAATGAGACATCATCACTTTGGTAAGACTAGGGTATACTTTATTTCTTCTTTGGAAGGACGATGATCCATCTCTTAGATCATTGATGTGAGACATCAAGATATAGTATACAGGTGACTCATTAGTGAATGAGTTGACTGAACGACTCACTGAGAACATCTAGTTGGTAATTATACTTAACTGTCAAATAGTAGTTCTCAAGTGATATAGTACAAAGTAGTCCATTGACCTAAGGCATGAGTACAATATCTTACATGTCAGTATAGGTGTACTTAGATTTTTACCTAACCACAGTTCTTTTCGAGTTGTGTATAACGGTTCTTGTTGGGTACATCCCGAGGCATAAGTAGATATTGATATGCTAATATGAGATTCGTCTCTCCCAGTATAGGGGGTTAATGTCATAAGATTGTATGATATAACTATAACCTGAAAATCCTTGGCCGAGATAAATAAGATAAACTGAGTGTCAGTTTGATCTTATAGGTTATGAGTTTAATATCTACAAACACTAATTGAGCAATTAGGGTTTGACAGTTTTCCATACCCTAGGCTTAATAGTTTGACATGGTTTGACGAAGAGACCGGACTGTATGGCATTATCACTGAGTGGTCCTGATAAAATTGTGTAAGCATCTTGCAGATATTTATCACAATTTATACCCGGGTAGTCTTCATGTGTAGCTAGCACCTCTGTTGTACTTATGGATATGATCCACTGCCGAGCTCTTAAGTTGGGCCCTAGAGTCACACCAAGCGCGTACTTGAATCCTATGAAACACAATTTATAGAGTGATGCGTATGATTGATACGCATATATGATTTTACCAGATACACATAAACGGTTATGTATATCGATAAAATCAAAATGCTATGTGCTTAGTAAATGAATTCTAGTATTTTTCCTATAAAGCTAACTTTTAGTTAACTAGTTGACTTTTTGGTCAACAGTTGACTTTTGGTCAACTCATTGACTTTTTGGTCATATGATGACTTGTTAATCAATGATTGAAAAATTACAAAATATTGTATTTATGAAATACAATATTGATTTGGTATTCTCATTTATGAAATACATATACCATGTATAATGAGTCATGAGATGAGTCATTTAGTGGTATGGTTTGAGCACATGGTTTATTAGCACATGATTTTAAAATGTAATGATTCATAAGATGATTCATTGCATGACTCACTAGATTAATCATTGATATTTGATTATTCATTGCATGACTCATAGGATGAGTCATTCATATCATGAATACATTTTACTCTATAAATATGAGCTCTCTTTCTTATGGAAAGGCTAATGAAAAATTGGTTAAGTGGTTTTTTTCATAAGAGAATAAAAGAGAGCTCTTTCTTATGGAAAGGCTAATGAAAAATTGGTTAAGTGGTTTTTTTCATAAGAGAATAAAAGAGAGCTCTCCTCTTACTAAATTCTAGCAATCTTGAGTAAGAGGAAGTAGTAGGATTTTATAGTACCCCGGGTAGATATCTTATCTTATGTCTCAAGAAGGCTCCGATTTTATCAAGCCCACTTGAAGACTTGGAGATCCACTACGAGGAGATTTTCTACTACAAGGAGCAAGAGCTAAGGGTTGTTCGATTTTCCATCGAATCACGCTTCGAAAGTATGACTTTCTAACTCTTGAATGCTCTCTTTAATATAGAGATTATGTTAGATTTAATTAGGATGGTCCTATTATATATTTCATGCTCTCTACATGCATAGCATAATTACATATAGTCTTCCGTTGCGTATTTTGCATGTTTTTAGCATGAATTTCCTTCATGGTATCAGAGCCATGGTTCCATCTAATTAAATCTACACTGTTTTCCCCTAAATTATATACTTCTAACACTTCCAGGTTTTACGTAAGGCAAGATAACATAACAAAACCATGATAACTGACCAAAAAAACTTCAAAGAAACGATGTTACTGGGTTTACAAGATTTATTAAGCAACAAGAAAAACTGTCCAATCCACCATTTGAACTTGTTTAACATTGACATGTTGCATTTTCATGTTTTATTTTCTTCCATAGACAATATTTTAGCTTCATCGAGAAAAACATCCAAGCGTGTAGATTTCACAGAAGCCAGAGAGGACCAGGTATAATAATCAGACTTAACTTGCATATTTATCAAATGTAACATTAGTTTTCCAACAATCCCAATTAAAGTTTAAAGGCCCATAGACAAGCACCAAGGTGAAACTTTTTAAGGAATATGTGCCAGAGCAATGAATGCAGGTATCTCTTTATAGTTACTAAAGATTTCTAGCTTTTTCTTCAAATGGGTTTTTATAACACCAAATAACAAATGAAGTGCAACACAAATTTCCAAAGTTGTTTAAAAGCAAAAAATCCCAAGTTTCCATTTCCAGTAAAGACAAATGGAAAAAAGGGCATCATTTTCAACACACAGTTAACACAATATATAAGATTAATATAAAACTAGTAGCACAAATCACTATATGAAAAAATATAAGTAGAAAGAAGCATTTATATTCTTACCAGAATATCTTGGCCTATCCAAGCAAAGGATATACGACGATAAACAGCCCAAATGACAGCAAACACTATGCAGAATGGACAAACAGCCAGTGTAAGGTATGAAACAGCTCCAAAAAAGGGCACTTTTATATATGATTCCCCAGCATTTTTAAACCACCTGAAGGAGCAAAAAGTAAGCCAAATCAGACACAGTAGTACTAGAAATGAGAATGCAATCTGTTCTTTACATGTTCAGAAAGAAACTAGCACCATCAGCAATAATTGCAGGTGATTTCCATTAATATAAATAAAACATTTATCACTATGCCCAACTGACGAAGGGCTATTTACTTTAGTAATACTGCTGATAAAGTCATAAAAGACCTAAAACATATATATTCATCAAATTCAGCACATGCCCAGCTCAAGGATATCGTGATTATAAGCAGTATGGTTTTTCTTTCTTTTCCTATGAACCTTTTTTCCCGAAAACAACGAAACAAAATTTACAGTGCGTTTCCAATTTAACCATGCATCATTCAAATTTTCAAGAAAAGAACTTAAGTTTGCTGAGTCTCTATCCAGTCAGCAAAGATTCATCATGAAAAAAAAAAGCTATAACCTTATAAATGAGAACTCCTAAAAGAACATGCTGCAAAACATGAAATATGCTTTAAGCATGAAAATGACGTATAATGAATCTCAACTATGGATTGTAACAATGATCAACATATCCTCAATGCAGCTTAATGACCAATCATAATAAACTAATACAATCAAGGATAAAATATAGAGATGATTAGCATACCGTGATAGCAAAGCCACCAAGCATGTTTGTAACCCCTATGGAGAAAAAGGAAATAAAGTTAGTTCCTAAACAATAAGAAATAAGATCCAACACTTTTCAATTATTCACCAGTCAGATGCTAAGAAAAAATATGAACGCAAACTCTTTGAAGCAACCGATACTGCTCAATGTGCTCATGAGTAAATTGTATCCTACATCTACAAATTAATTTATTCATAACAAATGTATAATCTTTTAGAAAGTTTTATTTGACTTTACTTCCACTTGGGGTAATACAAAATGTCTCAGTGACTGCTAGCACAAATCCTATTGTATTACTCAATCACATATCTAAATTATTTTGAATCAACTACAAGTTAAGGAGAGCACCTCCACTCCACCGATGCAAAAGAGGACCACCAGAAGCTCCACAAACCAGAAGGACATGAGTTTGTAAAGTAGGATCAAGAAGAATGATGCAATAACTACAAATAAAACTGCTGATGTTGTGTTGATGTCCACAACCCCACTCACACCCAAAGCTTCTACATTAAGTAAATCATCCGGTGCATCCTGAGAGAAGTAACACTATAATCAGTTATACTTTTCTTTTGCGCAAAATTCAGAAAGTATAAGAACCGTGATTGAAAAAACTCGGGGACTACATATAAGAACCTTCAATAATTTTTCGTGTTCAATTGATGCTTCCCAGGCACTCCATGCTGACCAAATGGATGCACACAAGATGGTACCAATAGCCATGAGCCACAAAAACACTTCTGCAGTATCCACAAGAGGACGATCTGGAGAGTACAACTGCACTGAGACTGCAAAACACGAATCCATTAACTTCTAAGAGTTAAGAGGTCTAGAAATGAATATTACACTATTACAGTCCATCAAATGTCAACTACAGGCCACTACATATTAAAATGTCTAGCTGAGGTATACTAGCATCTATACCAGTATTTTAGGTGCATTAGATATATTTTTTCTCCATTTAGTACTATTAAGTTTCTATGCTATGCTTAATTCACTCACTATCTCATTTGGATAATTACTCATCTTTATGTACCCATAGTTCAGCCGCTCATCTTACAATCATATTAGATAGCTCCTTCTTTAAATATGATAACCCACATATTTTATGAATCATATGTCCAAATACTTTGATTGCATTTGTATGTGCACAACAAAATTGGATATCATTGACAGGCAGTAGCACCTTAGAGTTTCAAGGCTTACCTAATTACTTGCAATAATCAATCCAATTAACACCCCCCAAACAAAAAAGAAAAAAAAGAAAAAAAGAAAAAGAAAAACACACACTTATACTTTTTTTTAATTAACTAGTCTTCATTGCACATGTTCAAACATCTTAATATCCCTCATTATATCCTCAACAAAACATCTCACCAACTTCCAACACTTGTTTATATCGCCGTCCTTTTCTGGTCTGTGATATCTTGTAATGCACCACTGGTAGTAGTTCATCGTTCTACAGTTGGTAAAAACACAATAATTATGACATACGAAACAGCAGTTTCTGTAAACAGCCATATACTGACATAGTAAATCAGAATCTTTCACGTGGTCGATGATTTTATATAAGAATTCCCTTGTAAATAGTTATAAGTTACATGTATCCCTCATATAACATTCAGTTTGAGTAATGGAAAGAGAATCATACGAGCACTTACATCAGATACAATATTTGACGCTATAAAATACAATACTTGCATACGAAAAAAAAACTCACCTGCATCACCATTCTTGAGATCTCTCTCTAAGCTTGAACCCGCATCTTGCGGCAGCATAACAGCAGGTATATGTATATTTAAATCAGTCTCATTACTATCACAAACCATCTTGTATAGTTCTGCAGAATATAAGAGCAAGTATTAAACAGATCAGACCAAACAGGCAAACAGTATACAAGATAGTAACAAATGTGTCTCCATTTGTTACATGTGCATATAACTTTAACATGCAGAAGCAAGGAACAAGTAGAACTAGAATGCTGCTGAAACATTACAAACATATGGAATTGGTTCTCGTGTCTTCACTTATAGATGTTAACATTAGAATATCCTAGAATAGCGATGAAAGCAAGACACGCCACATTTATGCATGTGCCACACAAGGTTTTAAATGTTGGATGTCAGGGATGTCCGACGCTTACAATCCATGTTGGATTGCAGAAGTCAGGGAAATATCAAGGTGTATGTTATAAATATCGGATTGTCACATTAGATGGTGCGCATATATATAATACAATGTCCTAAATGCAATTTAAACATACTTAACATCTATAGTCTAAACATACAAAATATAAATAACATATGATGTTTAGGTTCACTAACCGATTCTAAAAACTTGCTTTTTGATCACAAGTGAAAGAGCAAGAGATAGAGAATGAGAGGGAGAGAAAGAAAGAGAAAGAGGGAGAGAGAAACAAGGGTAGGAGGGAGGCCTTACTACCCTTCGAAACCTCAATCCAATGTTGAAATTTGGTGGCAAACGCTCAGTCGATTTCGCCTCCAGAGAGGAAATGAAGGAGAAGGAGCAGAGCAATTTATTTTTGAGACATGATTTTTCCCTAGACTTGGCAATCAGGTTCTTTTAATTGAGAATGTAACAATTGGATAATCAGGTTTGGGTTTTGGATTAAAAACCCAAGCTTGAAAGAGTAAGGTCTTAAAAATTAGCATATCGGCCAATATTTAGAGGTCTACATATTAGCTGACATGTCGAACATGTCCTGACATTTATCTACAAAACACCATATGACTTAGGAAGCATGATATCATGGCCTTAGGGCTTCGTGTGTGTGTGTGTGTATATATACACACACATATATATATAATTATATATATAGATAGAGAGAGAGAATAATGGGTATGCTTGATACCAAGCACCAAAGGTGACCAGTTCTCATCCACTCATTCAATTATCCAACTCATATATCATGTGAATGTGGTTCCCCCTTTAAATAAGTTTATGAGAATAAACCACCTCGCCACTTTATGCTTGGTACTAAGCATACCCATTATTCTAATAAATACACGCGCGCACACACAAAATTACACAAACACATACATATGAGAAAAATGGGTATAGTTGGTACTAAGCACAAATTTGGTGTTTCGTAGTGACGTGAATGCTTCTCATCTACACAATTAAAGGTGTCCATTTAAAAATGGTCTCTACTTAATTACTCACTCATAAATGAGCGGATGAGAAGTGGTCACATCACTACCAAGTATACTCATACTCCTCATGTGTCTGTATGAGAAAAATGAATATGTTTGGTACCAAACACAAACTTGGTGTTGTGTATTGAGGTGGATGTATCTCAACCTCACACCTAATGTTATAAAGTAGAAAGAGAAAATGTGTCACATGGGGATGTACTTTCCATTTAACTAACCTCACTCACATCTATGTTTGAGATTCCTCTACCTCACTACCAGTGTTGTAAAACACGCTCTGGGCGGCCGCCTAGGCGCCCGCCTAGGCGGAGGCGGTGCCCAGAGCGTGTCGCCTAGCCCTGAGCGGCCACGTCTAGGCGCTGGGAGCGCCTAGGCGGCCGCCCAGGGATAAGCGGGCCGCTTAAGCGGCCCGCCCCACTTTTCCATAGGCAAATTTTGAGCTGGGCGCTCCCAAAAACCCGAATAAAAAAAAAGCCTAACCCAAAACCCGATACCCAAAACCCAAAACCCAAACTCAAAAATAAAACCCTAATCTTCGATCTCACCTTCGTCTTTAACCGACTTCGGACTCGTCTTCGACTCGTCTTCGTCTCCAACCGAGCTCGTCTTCGTCTTCGACTCGTCTTCGACTCGACGTCGACGACTTCCGACCGAGTTCGTCTTCGATCTCACCTGCCGAGCTCGTCTTCGACTCGACGACTTCGGACCGAGCTCGCCTTCGACTCGACGACTTCCGACCGACCGAGCTCGTCTTCGTCTTCGACTCGTCTTCGTCTCCAACCGAGCTCGTCTTCGTCTTCGACTCGACGTCGACGACTTCCGACCGAGTTCGTCTTCGATCTCACCTGCCGAGCTCGTCTTCGACTCGACGACTTCGGACCGAGCTCGCCTTCGACTCGACGACTTCCGACCGACCGAGCTCGTCTTCGTCTCCAACCGAGCTCGTCTTCGTCTTCGTCTTCGTCTTCGACAGTTCGTCTTCGTCTTCGTCTTTAGCTGACAGTTCGCTTCGTAAAACCCTAATCCTTTTTATTTCGGATTTCAATTTCCTTTTTTTTATTCCGAGCTCGTCTTCAAGTTTTGGGTTCTCATTAATTTGATATTGTAGGCTTGTGTAACTGTGTTGATAATTTTTATTGGGTTCAAGTCTTAAAAAGGCAAAATCTGTGTTGATTGGTTCAGGTTTGATAGATTCTTATTACTTGTGAGGATAATAAACTTCTAGTTATTGGATATTATATGCCTTGTCATTTAGTATGTATGCATCTTTGATTGACTATTATACTTTGGATAGCATATGTGTTGTGTTGGTATTTTTGTATTTATGTATTGTTGATTGAGTATATATATTTATCTTCAAGTATCACAATTAAAAAAAAAAACCGCCCAGAAGAAAAAAACCGCCCAGAAACCGCTTAGGCGCCCGCCTAGGCGTCTAAGCGCTGGGCGCCAAGTCCGGCGCCCAGGAGCGCCCAGCGTTTAATGTAACATTGATAATCTATGTTGCATGGGTGTGGGTATCGGTACGGGACGGGACACGGCAAATTTGCAAAAGGTAGGGTATGGGGACACAGTTATATAAATATTTATATACACATTATATATTGAAATTGGAATTAATAGTTTACATGAGATCAGTATTTTTAATTCCCGTATTATGAGAAATAAAGTTCCTACAACATTTTTATGTTCCTTTTATTATGTGGATTATATATTGTAAAAACGCTATTGTTTTAATTAGACAACTAGATGACATTAAAATCATAATTTGGAAACCCAACAAGTTCCAAGAAAGTGGATGTGTATGATTTATGTCAAGAAAATGTTTAACAAGTGTTCTAATTTAAAACATGTATTATTTAATTGGGTACATGCCAGAATAAACGTATGCATATATGCAAGGAATGTCCAAGAAGTTTGGGTATGAGTATGGGTATGTGTCACCATATTGGGTAAAGATACGGATTCATGACAGAAGTATGTAGGTAACATAGGCTATAATGAGTGAAAATTTGACTGAGAAATGAGTAAGTCAAGAAAAGCACCGCAATCATTGTGGATAATTCCAAGTAAAGTAACATCTCTCTCTCTCTCTCTAAGTCAAGAAAAGCAACACGGTCAATGTCGATAATTCTAAGTAAAGCAACATCTCTCTCTCTCTAAGTCAAGAAAAGCACCAGGTTCATTGTGGACAATTCTAAGTAAAGTAACATCTCTCTAAGTTAAGAAAAGCACCAGAGTCATTGTGGATAATTCTAAGTAACATATCTCTCTCTGGATAATTCTAAGTAAAGTAACATCTCTCTCTGCATGCACGCACACCAATACCCTGACACCCACTAATGCTACATTTGGTTAGCAGTTAGCCGCTTCTCATGCTTCTGTAGTGCATCATAAGTTGTGAAATTTTGGATAAAAACTCACACACATGATTTGTTTCATTAACATAACCGACATATGACCAATAATTCTCCAATTCTTGCTCAAAGATAAAATAATTATGGCCAATTTTAACCACCACCACCACTCCCCTCCCCTCAACCCAAAAAGAAGAAGGAAAAAAAACACACAAACACAATACCCATAAGAGATTGCTTGTTTCATCAACATAACATATGCCATGGGTTGTGAAATATTGGATGAAAAACTCATAAACACGGTTGCTTGTTTCATTGACATAACCGACACAAAGAGCAGAGGCAGTGCTCCTCTTTCTACGAAGATCTTCTGACTCATAAATCTTTTCTTCCTTCTAATCACCATGGTCCACAGAGATTCCTCTTGCTTAGCATTATTCAATAACCACTTCCCCAAGGATAAGCGGGCCGCTTAAGCGGCCCGCCCCACTTTTCCATAGGCAAATTTTGAGCTGGGCGCTCCCAAAAACCCGAATAAAAAAAAAGCCTAACCCAAAACCCGATACCCAAAACCCAAAACCCAAACTCAAAAATAAAACCCTAATCTTCGATCTCACCTTCGTCTTTAACCGACTTCGGACTCGTCTTCGACTCGTCTTCGTCTCCGACTCGTCTTCGACTCGTCTTCGACTCGACGTCGACGACTTCCGACCGAGTTCGTCTTCGATCTCACCTGCCGAGCTCGTCTTCGACTCGACGACTTCGGACCGAGCTCGCCTTCGACTCGACGACTTCCAACCGACCGAGCTCGTCTTCGTCTTCGACTCGTCTTCGTCTCCAACCGAGCTCGACTTCGTCTTCGACAGTTTCTCACCTGCCGAGCTCGTCTTCGACTCGACGACTTCGGACCGAGCTCGCCTTCGACTCGACGACTTCCAACCGACCGAGCTCGTCTTCGTCTTCGACTCGTCTTCGTCTCCAACCGAGCTCGACTTCGTCTTCGACAGTTCGACTTTAGTCTTCAGCCGACAGTTCGCGTCATAAAACCCTAATCCTCTTTATTTCGATTTCAATTTCCTTTTTTTTATTCCGAGCTCGTCTTCAAGTTTTGGGTTCTCATTAATTTGATATTGTAGGCTTGTGTAACTGTGTTGATAATTTTTATTGGGTTCAAGTCTTAAAAAGGCAAAATCTGTGTTGATTGGTTCAGGTTTGATAGATTCTTATTACTTGTGAGGATAATAAACTTCTAGTTATTGGATATTATATGCCTTGTCATTTAGTATGTATGCATCTTTGATTGACTATTATACTTTGGATAGCATATGTGTTGTGTTGGTATTTTTGTATTTATGTATTGTTGATTGAGTATATATATTTATCTTCAAGTATCACAATTAAAAAAAGAAAAACCGCCCAGAAGAAAAAAACCGCCCAGAAACCGCTTAGGCGCCCGCCTATGCGTCTAAGCGCTGGGCGCCAAGTCCGGCGCCCAGGAGCGCCCAGCGTCTAAGCCCTTGTTGATTGAGTACATATTCATTTTTCTCATACAGACACATGAGGAGTATGAGTATACTTGGTAGTGATGTGACCACTACTCATCATAATCTATATGTAGAAAAAATTATATTGTTTTGAAATTAATAATTACTATTTTAGCTATGTGCAAAAGAGACGGCTATTAAACTATCTAAAAAAATCAATATATTAAACTAGGGTGATTCATACACTAGAGGACTCCAAACTATGAGAAATTTTTACCATATACATCTGATGATGTTTTGAACAAAATGTACGATACGGATCATGAATTTAATGAACCGATTAGTTCATTTCATGATTAGATTTCATCTCATTATATCATTACTCTCTCTATGTGTGTGATACATACATACACACATATTTGTGTGAGCGCGCGCGTGTGTGTGTGGAAATAATGGGTACGAGCCGACTCATTTTGCTAAATGAGTCACCACCTCACGCATGCGCATACATACATACATACATGTATGACAACAGGTCGATGGGTGAAAATATTTGATACAAGTGGAAGGAGCTCTACAACCACAACATGACACAAATCTAGGGACTTGTTTATGAATGGCAATGAGGAAGCTGCCCTAATGAAAAGCAAGGAAAATACACCCATAAAAAGACTAAATGGCACATATGTTTCACTACTTTTACACTTAAATACTCAAAGTTATAAAAAAATAGCACTTTAATACCCTAAGTTGTAAAAAAAATAGTACGTTAGTACCTTCTGTTAATTGTCATGGAAATATTCCTAAGAATATGACCTCTCAACTAAGAGAATGTATTAAAGTGCTACTTTCTTATAATTTAGGGTATTATATTGCTACTTTGCTATAATTTGGGGTATTAAAGTACTACTTTTTTCAACTTAGACATTTAAGTGTAAAAGTGATGAAACAATAGGGTATTTAAGAGTCAGTTTCTTACAGCTTAGTGTATCAAAGTGCTACTTTTATTACAGCTTAGTCTTAGTGTATCAAAGTGATACTTTTTACAACTTAGGGTATTTAAGCGTAAAGGTTGTGAAATAATAAGGTATTTAAGTGCCATTTAGCCCCCACAAAAATGACTCCAAATGTTTTAATGAAGATCAGAATAAGGATAAGCAATTTAAATTAGTGGAACAAATAAGACTCCCACAACTAAAAATTAAGCTATAGCACATGATAAATCTAGTAAGCTTTTGTCTCCGACCTATTTGATGTAAATATTTCAACAGGCTAGTCTTCAACCTATTTACAAATGAAAAGCTGGAATGTTCATTGTATGTGGACTCTATTAATGATTAGCATTAAAAAAATAGTAAAATAATATATAGTTCCTTCTAAAAGCAATATTTCCAGTTGCGCATGTTTGGTCATAAGCAGTCTAGCAAAGCTTCTTCTTTTTATTTTTGTTTCAGATGTAAGGAACCTTATTTTCCACATATAAGAATTTTCTCAAATCCGTCAAGAATAAAACTTGAAGATTCTGACATTAGACCATAAGGCACATGCTACAGAAAAGAATTTGTTTACCTTTCCGGTTATTTATAATAAGTATAGCAGAAGCCCCAGCAGCTTCAGCAACCCTTGCCTTTGTTGTAAACTTGCATTTACCACGATGCACTATGAGAACCTCTCCTACAAGCTAAATGATGAAAGGCTCAATGTTGGAAGTGCAATAAGAAAAAGAAAAATAATTTTCGTTCTAATTAAATAGTAATATGCAAAAGAAAAACCTTGTTTTTTGGTGTAGTACAACAATCAGGAGGGTCAGAAATGGCAAGGTGACTACGATTAGCATATTTCTCTTTTGACACGATTGGAGGGCCAAATCGAGCGCCAACACCGACAAACTCACTGCCTTCTTTGTCATTAATCCAAGTTTGTACTTTAACCTGAAAATGACAAATGGCCAAATTATCAGCAAGCTGTACTAAATTACACAATCTTGGTCTAAATACAAGTTCAATGTAATGCTCAACAAAGAAGCTCTAGAATGTTTATACCACACCAATAAATCAAGACAATGAGCACTTTAATCTTGGCCAAGCTCATTCTCGCTGCTTACTAACTTCTAAAGAAGGTACTACTAGAATCCAACACTTGAAGATACTCCATCACTATCTTGATCAAAAAACAAAGTATAATTATCTAAACCCTTTATCTACATTTCTATCTTATGACAAATTATCAACAGTTGACTAAACTCTGCACACTTTGCAGATTTGCAACTTCTGGAAGAATATTGGAAAAAAATAGAATGTGCATAATATAATTGAGGAATTTGCACCATTCTCATCTCTAGCTATCATGATACTTCCTCCCAAAAGGCAAGATCTCTCCACATGAATACAGAAAAGGAAACCAGGCCACTCCTAAAAAAACATAAAAGTTGCTAAAAGAAGCAAACGGGTAAACAACGTGCATTCATCACTCAGGAATACATTATTCTATCGAATACAATTTTATAGATAAAAACAAAGACTTTGCACGCTTCACACTTCTCCAACTAATAAGAAAAAAAAAACCAAAAGTAACCCATAAAACATGAGACCTTGTAGTTGTAAAACAAAAAATAAAAAGCTATCCAATTAAGAAACACTAAAAAAATTACCAAAAAAGAAACAAATTGGTCGGAGAATGCGCATCAACTATCCAGTGCTAGGTCGTTATCTTCAACAGATCTCTCAGCAGCACAAAAGGAGAAGAAAAACCCAAGCAAGTGGGTTCAGTACACGAACTAATCACTGACTTCTAAAAATTTCAGCATATCCCCAAAAAAGATGAGGACTTTTAGCCACAGAACCAAAAAGGGAACCAACCCACTTGGTAAAAACTAGAAATTTTGCTATAAAAATAAAAAGCTAAAGGGCAGAAGAGAAGTCTCACCAGCACAAAGTTATTGGAGCATCCTGGCTGCTTAGGGGCTTCGTCATCCTCATGAACTATGTCACCTCCAGTGACCAAAACGGGAAGAAGAAGCAACAGGATCAGAGAAGTGAAGAAGAACCCAATGGAACCCATGATAATTATGGGCGAGAGGAGCAACAATTTATCTGGGCATATGGAGATAATTCAGAGAAGAACAGGAGTTGATGTTAGCATGGAGATGCTCAGCGAGGAGGGAGGGGGAGAGAGGGGAAAGTTGGGGGAGGAGAGAGAGAGAGAGAGAGAGGGATGGTGCTGTTTTTGCGTATTTATTATTATTATTATTGTGAGGTGTCAGTCACAACTACAAGACCTTTGTCTCTCCCCTCCACTCTCTTTATTTAATTGGGGTTAATTTTACCTTTTCTTTTCAGCTTCGCTTGCTTTTTATTTTCTTCCTGTTCTTCCTCGCCCTTTTTTGTTTTCGCTTTTTCCACTTTTTAATGCCGGATTAAATGGGGAGGGGTGGGCTGGGCTGGGAACGGTTATCACATCTTGATCAGAAATCGTGACACGATTATATCAAAGTTTCATACCACCGCCCCCCAGAAATGCCAAAGTTGCGGTTAGTGCTGAGGAATATAGTTTGGACGAATTTTCAAAACCAACCTATTTCTAGATTTAATCCCGAAAAAAGATCTGTTTTAAACTTATTTTTAAAAACTAAGCGCTGAAATCAGGTCGGTTTTTGAAAAAAAAAATTCTGAAACTTCACGGGAGTTGAACTCCCGTGAAGTTTAGTAAATCTGTTAAACTTCACGGGAGTTCAACTCCCGTGAAGTTTCGTAGTTCAAAAGAAAATTTGAACCATGAAACTTCACAGGAAGCAGCTTTACTAAACTTCACGGGAGTTTCAGAAGCTTTTTCACAAAAAACCAACCTCTGAAACCAGGTCGGTTTTTACAAATAAGTTCAAAATAGGTCGTTTTTGGGATTAAATGTTCAAATAGGATGGTTTTGAAAATTTGTCCATTATGGTTTTCTACCCTAACATCGGTTGGTGATGATGATGATGATGATTATTATTTGACCGAAATCTGAACTCACATGAGTTATTTTTTTCCTCCCTAGTGTTAGACCCTAGAGGGGGGGTGATTAGGGTCTTATGCTAATCTAATCCGATTAAATGCCAATTAAAAACTAATTAACAAGTTATCCTAGCAAGTGTGAAATATAACAAGATATGTAAGCTAGGATAAGCAATATGAACAATGAGATATATCCTATATGATGAATATATATATATAGATATATAAACAACACAAGGGTAAATAATCTAAACAAGATAGTGGATGAAATAGATAATGAGCTAATGACAATGGCGATATAAGATATGAACATAAATATAAATGAACGCCAAAGCACACTCAAACAAGCAATATGATCACGGAGTTCGGACCTTCCGTCCTACGTCTCCGCTCCCCACTCCCGGGGAGAAATCCACTATCAACCGGGTTTTCTACGTTCACCCGAATAACGTTTACACCTCACAGTATCGGTTTTCAACGCTCACCGATCAACGTCACTCCTCACACTCGGTTTCTAGCTCACCGAAAACCTCACTACACACTCGGTTTCTAGCTCACCGAAAACCTAACAATCTCACAATGTAACAAATATAAATTGTTCTCTAATATGGACGAGAACACAATAAAAGCCCACACTCAATGTTACAACTCTCACAACCCTAATATATTATGAATGCAAATACAATAAGCTCAAGTGGGTGTGTGCAACAATGAGTAAAATCAAATCTAAACTCAATATAAAACTAGCTTTAATAGAAATGATAATTGACAAATAACAAATGAAAGCTAGAGTAGAGTTTAGAAAACTTCTCAATGGAAGACAAGATGGAGAGATGGAGATTGGAGCCCAAACAAGAAGATGATCTCCTCCACTTGTGAAAACTTCTTCACAAACAAAACAAACCCTTAAACACACTTAAACCCTTGTTTAAAACTTGTTTAAAAACTTCTTAGATAGTTTGAAAAGAGATCAGCAATGGGTATTTATACCCTCTCAAAACTCAGCCAAAAACCCTCAAAACAAGATTAGCACAAAAATATAACTTGGATCTTTAACTCAAGGCGATTAGACCTTAAATCAAAGAGCACCAAGCTCTGATACCAATTGTTAGACCCTAGAGGGGGGGTGATTAGGGTCTTATGCTAATCTAATCCGATTAAATGCCAATTAAAACTAATTAATAAGTTATCCTAGCAAGTATAAAATACAACAAGATACGTAAGCTAGGATAAGCAATATGAACAAATGAATATATCCTATCAATGAGATATTACAAATATATGAGCAAGGATATATGAACTAACACAAGGGTAAAATAAACAATCTACACAAGTGATAGGGTAATATGATGAGCAATACACAAAGGCGATATAAGATATGAAAACAAGAATAAGAACGCCAATGCAATCACAAACAAAACGATATGTTTACGAGGTTCGGTCCCCACGACCTACGTCCCCGCTCCTCACCTCGAGGAGATCTCCACTATCACAACCGGGTTTTCTACGTTCACCCGAACAACGTTTACACCTCACAATACAATCACTATGTAATCACACCTCACACACTAAGTGTTGGTCCTAGCCCGTGTCCTCCTCCTCAAGTGCTCGGTTACAACCTCTCCCTAGGCACGTCAACCGACGCCACTCCTCTTGGATTCGACCCCGTCTCTCACCACACACTTCTCTCGGTGTACAAGTGTATTACAAGTGAATCCTCACAATTAAGCACAATATAAATCAATTGATTGTTCTCTAAACAAGGTGAGAACTCAATTAAGCACAACTCTTAGTCACAAACCCACAACCCCAAATTATACTATGAATGTAAATACAATAAGCTCAAAAGGTTGTGTGTGAACAAAGAGATATAAATCAAAACTAAACTCAATGTAGTTCTAGCTTAATAACAATGATAATCAAATATATAAAAGAGCTAGAAATAGAGTTTAGAAAACTTCTCAATATATCAAGAGTGGAGGGAGAAGAGTTGGATGCCCAAACACCAATAGATGATCTCCTCAAGCTCTTGTTGAATTGAATCACAAAACAAAAACACTCTAATGCTTAAAAGCTTCTTAAAACAAACTTAAACAAACACTAAACAAGTTTAAACCCTTGTTAAAACCTTTTAAACCATTCTATTAACATCTAGACAATGGGGTATTTATACCCTCTCACAACTCAGCCAAGAAACCAGAGCAAAAGACAAAACAGCCCCAAGGCAACGGTCAAAAAACTAGCCGTTGGAAGCTGAAGGAACACTCGTCGGTCGACCGGAAAATTCGTCGGTCGACCGAAAATTTTCATCGGTCGACCGGACCGGTCGACCGACAGGCTTCTGTCACCCAGAGAACTTTTGACCTCAGGTTCGGTCGACCGGTGCGGTCGACCGAAATCTGACATATTCAAAAACTGTTTTGCTGATTTTAAAACCCTGTTTAAAAATATCAAATAAATTCCAAAAAATGTAAAACTTTGGGAAATGATTGTAGACATGATAATACACATGCTACAAAAACTGGTTTTCTAAAAAGACTTCCCAAATGAGAAATATCATCTTTTTGCAAAATAGTCCAAAACATGAAAACCTGAAAATTGATATTTTGATATTTTGACTTAAACAACATTTTGAAACCTTATGAAATGATTGTATAGACTTGATAAAAGATATAACATGTTGTTATGAAGTCTATAATCTAGAAATACAATATTTTCATAAATTTGCATATTCTATGCAATATATTCAAAACACTAAATATGATTTCATTAAATATAAGCTTGTTAAAGGTGAAATCATATATAGGCATATAAACATGAAACAAAATAGTATTTTCCAATTCTATGCATTTGTTTCATATATAAACTCGAAAACTATAAAACAAAAAACGTATATGTATATATATATAAAACTATATATATATATAGAAATCAAATACGTGTGTGTATATGATATTGAGCTTAAGGTATTAAACACACATAATATAAACCTATACTAAATTACCCAAGCTTGATCTTGATCTTCATTGTAGCTCAACTTGGTAATGTCGCGGATGAAGCTTGAACTTGGATCTTGAACTTTGAATAGCAATACTTCACTCCACTATTCCGCCAACCTCCTCTTGATATGATCGTTGAAGCGCAATCCATCCAATCTCCAACAACGTTGTTTGTCTACAATGAATAAGAATGTACAAACACTAGACAAACAACATTAGTAGTAAATTGTTTGTTAAACATCATCAAAACAAGAAGGCCAACACCTAGATCCGCTTTTAAAATTCTCAGGTAAGATTAAACTTGGATTGCTATGGTATCGTGTCAAAGTTTTCTTGCTACTATATTGAAACTCCGAAGTTGTTGTGACGGTTGAGAAATATAGTTTTATGCTTTAACGGACTAGGTAACGACAAAGCAAATGAGCATAAATAAGACTATTATATGTTGTTTTGACAAAAAGAGTCCTAGCTGATTGTCGGCAGATAACATATGCCAATGATTCATAACCTATCTTCTATAAAACCAACTATTATCCATATCTTCCTGGCTGCCGTATTATATCCATATCTAACTTATGGAGGCGATATATTAATCTTGAAAATACTTGCATATATCTATTTCTTTTCTTTATTTTTCAATGAAAAACAATAACGGCGGGCGCTCATTTTGAATATATCGAATCATAATATTTTAATAATATGTGTATAACAATATCGAAATACTAATACATGTCGGGTGCATCATACCAATAACTAGTTTATCTTCTAAGAGTAAAACCCACATCATCTTGTGTCTACAATTATAACACATTGAAGCAAACATGCTACATAATCAATTACATAAATGATTGATTCTTGAAAGGGGTATAAGCTTTGGGTTTTTTTTTTCTTTTTTTTTTTGGGTGGTAATTTAACCATTGGAAGTTGGGTTTTAAACAAATGTCCTAAAGTTTAAAACGGATCTTATTTTGGGAATTTTTTTGGCAAACAGGTTGGGTTTGAAAATCTGTCCACATAATCAATTATATAAATGATTGATTCTTGAAAGGGGTATAAGCTTTGGGTTTTTTTCTTTTTTTTTGGGTGGTAATTTAACCGTTGGAAGTTGGGTTTTGTGGATTCGGGGATTCTACCGTTGAAGAAAAAGGAAAATTTGGGTTGCGGGTATAAACCCAGTTTTTAAACCCACTATAAACCGGGTGGGTAGGAGTTTAAATGTTATCATTGTTTAATGAGAAAGGAGTATAATAGGAGGAGGGTTACATATTTCCTTTAGATTTAACCCTTACTAATACCCAGAGGAAAGCTTTGGCAATGAAAACGATGCTCTTGAGGGAGGTTTTGGCAAATACTGAGCTGGAGGTGGGGAGTTCTGACAATTAAAGATGATGTAAGGAGCTTATATGCAATTACCCCTTCTTGAAAACAATGGGACGGTCTTTTCAACAGTGGATTCAGAGGACAGAACCCACATGAAGCCTAGAAGACAAATCAATTCGAGCTTTTCAACAGTGGAATCAGAGGACAAAACCCACATGAAGTCTGAAGGTTCACAACTTGAAGACAAATCAATTTGAGCTGACAGAGTCGGCTCCATTATTACTATGAACAAATTTTCAAAACAGCCACAAACAAATTTTTATTTTTCAAAATCGACCCATTTTTTTTTATTTACCAAAATCGACCCGATTTTTGCCACGTAGGCTTAATGACGTTCCTAAACAGTCGGGGTTGGCAACCCCGACTGTTTAAGAGGGTGTTAAACCCTAATTAATAAATTTGCATGTCCTAAACAGTCCAGTCGGGGTTGCCAACCCCGACTGTTTAGGAACGTCATTAAGCCCACGTGGCAAAAACCGGGTCGATTTTGATAAATAAAAAAAACCGGGTCGATTTTAAAAAATAAAAATCTTTTTGGGGCTGTTTTAAAAATTTGTTCTTATTACTACGATAGGGACCAGACAGCGTTCGTGGCATGTCTTCTCCTTGTTCCTCTATATGCACATAACAGATGACAAGTGGTGAACTTATCCAACAAGAATACTAAAGAATCATGATCAACGCAATGATCCTATCTATAAGCACTAAGATAATTCAACATGAGATCATATCAACCCCTGAACGTGAAAAATCTCGATAATTGAGATTGTAAATACCAGATCCGAACACATAAGAGCTATTTGGAGGAGGAGAAAAAGAAAAAGGAACGACTTGTGATTGATATGCACACGATAGTTGATATGCACACAAGGCTTTTTATAAGGAGGCTTCTGCAATTACAGATGAAGAAACTGAAGAGCAAGATGAACAGCTGTGACTGGAAACCATATTTTTTTTTTCCAGATTACCACTGCAGTTATAATTGCAGTATTTCACAAACCAAACAATATTCGCCTTAGCAATGCAAAGTGGAACTATTAGGGCGGAGAATTAGGCAGACTAAACAGAAAAATCAATGAAAATATAGGAAAGTAGTATTACACCACAGATTTAGGCAAAAACAAGGTCCAGCGACCCAGGCTACAACCTTAAAAATGAAGAGAAACAATCTGGACCATACCACTACATAAAGAAAAGGAATTAAGCCCTGTAAGAACACAGAAGACCTTTGCTAAAACCTGGAACCTCTGCAAAAAATGAGGGTAAAACTGCACAACTGCTATCAACAACTAGACATCATTCAGTATTGTTTCTCCTTTTGGGTACGTACTTCAACCTGTAGCTTTTCTCAGTCTTTGGTTTGAATTTAGGTTTCGAAGCTCCGGCCATGGCTGGTTCGACCAAACCTAGTCCTGTCAACCTGTTCTCTGCACTGCCAAGAATGCTCCTCATTGAGTGAGGTGCTGGTATATTGCCTTCCAAGGTCTCAAGGTTGGGTGATGGATTGGTTTCAGGGGATAGAACTAGCTTCACATGATCAGATGCCATTGCCTCCTTCCACCCTGTATGGTATTAAAACGAGGGTTAAAGTTACAGTTCATATTTAATAATAGTGCAGTAACTGTAGCTATTATCAATATCGAACTATGTCTTAGAATCGAATAGAAATCGTAATGATCAAAGTCAAATGCATTGTCATGTTTCATATGTGCATGATGCCCATGGAGCATGATACATGTGCAGGCATGACACATACACAAGGTGTGGAAAATCTGGAGGGTAAATTGCAAATGACCCCCCTCATTTATTCCTTCAGTAGCAATTATCACCTCTCAACTCCTTCATTAGCACTTGTGACCCACCAATTCATGAGGGGGTGGGGGTCATCAGCACTTCAAAATGCCAATCCAGAGATGACAAGTGCCAATAGAAGAGTTGAGGAGTGTCAAGTGTCGCATTAAGGAATAGAAAAGGGGGTTGTCTGCGTTTACCCACTCCTTATTCTGATCTTGCACAGGAATGCATAGAAAGCTGACCCCAAAAAATTTGGGTTAAAAGCAATTGTTGTTACTAAATGCAGTGGATAGGTAAAGTTTCTTAATTTATAGAGCTAAGGTATGTACGATATGCAGCTTGTTTAGGT